ATTAAATCCTCAGGACAAAAAAATAACTATTTTGAGAGGACTATCCAAAGATGCAGTTGCCATTACTTTGGTATTTGGCCCTTGTTCTGTAGTAATTTAGTCTGAACAAGACCCGAGTGTGTGCTATTCTTTGGCTTTATAGTCCTCTAACCATAGGCACTGATGGCATTCATGATTATGGATTAAATAGGGCCAACTCTTGTCAGTAATTTGTTAGAAAACTCCCACAGTGATGCCTATGGTGCTGCTGAACAATGATGTTGGTAGTGTGTTATTTTGCTTTAGGAAAAGCTACAGCATTCCAACACGGGGTCCAATGCCTGGTACTGGAAGCCTCTTCTCTATTTGATGTAAATTAAGCCTTGAGTACACTCTGCCCAGTATTGCAATTAGCATCTGGGGCCAGACCAAATTCTCATTTGTGCAACTGCAGGTTACTTACCACTGGATAAGAAATATACTCCGCCATATTCTTGCTTTGTTATATAATTTTGCCTGGGGTTGCTAAATCACTGTTGCATTCTGCCACTGTGTGCAGCCCGTGGGCTTTTACAAATTTCAGCCTGAAAGGCTCTCATGAAAACTTGAAAATCTTTTAACATAAGGTTGTCTCCAGGAGACTACTTTTTGGTTTAGTTATGTGATTGCATTTGAACAAATGTATTTTTCTTTAGTTCTACTTAGTGTTTTTTAAATTGATGGATTTTCATGAGAGGTTTTCAGATCTTGTACTTTCAATTTCATTTTTGGGGGTAGAAGTTTCAGAGTGAGATATGAAGAGTTTTGTGAGATGAATAAATTAAAATATGATCAATTAGCAATTTGCTGATACGAATTTTCTTCTGGAAATTAAAACAGCAGAAAGTTAGTACTCTTAAGTAAGAGAAAATAAAATTTTTGGAAGACAGATTCTGGATAGTCTAATATTTTATTTATTGATGAAATCTTTCACATTTTGAAGAAAGTATTAATTGAGATGCAATTGCGTTCTTTGTGAGATGGCAACACAGAGCTTCTTGGTTTACACAAAGGTCAGCAGACTACAACCCACAGGGCAAATCAAGTCCACCACCTGTTTTTGTAAAAAAAGTTTCATTGGAGCATGGCCATGCCCATTTGTTTATATATTTTCTATGGCTGCTTTTATAGAGACTATATGGCCTATAAGACCTAAAATATTTACTATCTGAAAAGGTTTCTTTCTAGAAAAGGTTTACCAACCCCTGGTTTACATCATTACTTTTATCTTGTGGAATCAGCGCTGAGTGTGCACATCCTCTAAGCTAGGGGAGAATCAAACCACATATTTGACAAACAGTTAAACCTAGGACTATCCCATCCCTTGGACTCTGGGTAGACATTGTGGCAATGATAAGCTTCCCTTTCTCTTTCCTTCTTTTCTCAAGTTTCTGGGTCCCAGCTCACATCTGTGACTGTGGCACCAGCAATTTGGGGTTGATAGACTATTGTTCAATTGATGGTGTGTATTTTTACCTAAACGTTTGGAGTTATCTTTTGAACCCAATGGAAACATAATGTGTTTTGCAGTACCTCGCATTTTAGGCTGCCTCTGTAAAGCTGCCCTTGTGCTACAGTTTGCTCTTACACTATAAAGTATAACAACATGCTTCTCCTCTCTTATCATTGGCCCAAACTGGTCACACACCCCTTTCTAACTATTACTGTAGACTAGTCAGAATCTATACCTGCATTTTGTAATAAGGCTATTTACCTCTGCATCACTTGGGAGAACGTGGACATATGGGTTGGTTATTTTTCCTTTTGCCCCTTCAGAGCTACTTCTATTTTATCTTGGATTTCCCCCAAGAGTAGAGGCTGAGAAAAGGGATGCATGAAGGTAGTAATTTGGGGAAGTGATGTCAGGGCACAGAAGTCAGGGGACTAGGATAGTAAAATAGGGAAGAAGGTAAAGCTGATATGAGAGTGGAGTTATTAAGGTTGAAAGTCAGTCACTGTTGTGGGCAACTGGGGCTCAGTCTAGCTGAGAACCCTCTGAAGAACTGTGTAGATCCTCTCTCAGAATTGTTTGCTCAAGCCACGGAGGAGTGTTTATTTATCTACTGCCTTCCAACTCTGATTGGTCAAGGGTTGCCTCACGGGCCACTAACTTCCTTGCGTGTACAGTTTGAGCATGCTGCCGAATGAGTAAGCAGGCTAGTCTCATGCAGGTGTCTCATGTTGTGGAGGCAAAGGATTCTTGATGCACAAAGAGACAGGTTGTGTAGCTGAGTCAAGGTGCAATTGCTGTAGCTGGTTGCCATGGCAGCAACCAGAACAAAATGGTGGGCCAAGGGGCTGTAAGACAGGACACAAAAGACATATGTCTCACTGCCCTTGTCAACCTGCCCCATATATCAGGGGGCCAACCCCTGTGGCCTAGATTACCCGAGCTCCCTTGCCGTCTGGCTTCTCATTAAGTATTGGTACCGGGAGACACTGCAGGAAATCTGAAGGCAGGAGAACAGAATGGCTGGTGTGTTTATTTTCCCCAGCTTCCTCCCTGCTTGCATTGCCATTGGCTGTAACTCCTAAGGGGTAGTCCTGCTTCCATGGCTCCAGCTCTCCTTGCGTTGTGGTAACATCATTCTCTGTATACCAAATGCCACAGCTCCTGCAAGAGGCTTTCACCTCAGCTATAGCTTCCCTTGGATTCAACAACCTCTTGTCCCTCTCGTCCTTCAGGCCTAGAGGACGTTTTAGCTCTCTGCTGTTGCTGATCCTCGGGCCCTGCAGAATCCACTCTAAATAGTGTTTTCATTGAACTTTCATCTATTAAATCTTTTGATTGTGCTTTCATTTTCCACCTAAACAAAATTGGGGTTTTGTTAGCAGTAAAGAAGGGGAAGGTTTTTGGAGTTGGCATCTAAGAGTATCCATTATTCCTTTTATGAGGGCCAGGACCTACAGAAAGCTCGCCACCAGTGTAATGGTTTCCAGACACTTTGAAAAACGGCATAGAGATGAAATTCCTCTTCTGGGACAGCTTTCCCCTCCAGTAGCCCCTACTCCCGTATTTTGGGTTGTTAAACTGGTAATGCTATATTTTAAATTTTCCTTGCTTTTTTTGTTTCTTCTTATAACATTAATATTTTTTCAATGTAGAGGAGTTAAGCAATACAAAAAGGCATAAATATAAAAGTGAAAATCTCTTGTAATTCAACCACCCATAGATATATATTAACATTTTGGTGTGTATTCCTTCAGACGTTCTTGAATGGGTCTATAAAATAAATCAGTACCTTGATTTTATATTTGGAAGGAGGGCACTGTAAAAAAGTGGATGCGGTAAGAGGAAAGAAGGAGAACTAAGTCACCTTGTTGCTGGGTAAGCACCAAATTGGATGTCTCTCTCATTATTCAAGAATGTGCAAGCAAGAAAAAAAAGAAATAGAAGAAAAAAACCCAAAGAGAATAAATATTTACAATCCCCTCAAAAAACATAACCCAAGAATCAAAGGAAGACCACGCTTTTCAAAAACATTTTCCATGGTTGAATACTTGCGACAACTTAAATGTCTATAGTTGGGGGACATGGGGTGGATGAATGAGTTATGGTGGATTCATTCAGTGCTACTTGCTCGCTACTTTGAGAAGAGTGTTATTTCAGTGAACGAATGTGACAGCCATTCTATGATGCATGTAAAGAAGTGTTTATAAACATGAAAGAAAGATGTTTGTATCAATGGTACTTGCACACTATGTTGAGAACAGAGTTATTTGGTACATATTAGTAGAATGATGTAGAATATTATATGATAATATGAAATGATCTTCAAGATATATTAAGTGAGAAAAGCAAGGCTTATATAAAGTGATTCCATGTGTATTAAAAACAGAAAACATAAATATACATTTACATGCTCATGTATACATAAAACATTTCTGGAAGGAAATGAGAAATTATCAACAATGTTTGATTATAGGAAAGGGGTAAATATTTGGGATAAGAGGGATATTTACTTTTAATTACATATATTTTTGTTATGTCCAATTGTTTTTTCTGTTCAAGTATTATATATTCAACTAGAGAGGATTTACTAGGGAGAACAAATTACATCTTAATTGTGCACTCAATTAACTTCAAGAAGACACAGAATCCCTGAAATGAGAGAAGAAAGATGACATAAAAAAGGTAGAAAAGGGTTTTCTACACAGTTGTACGTACAAAGGAACTGGCAAGAAAAGTTTAAATTGTAAAGAAATTAAAAATGTAATGAGGAAATTAAAGTCTATGTTAGAAGCAGTACAGATAAGAATCATCTCTTCAGAGAAGTAACCAGCAACTTGAACGATATCTTTCAACAATTCTCCCAGAATTCAGAGGATAAGAACAAAGAGAAGAAATTAACAAGAAAGAAGAGGCAAGTGTGAAAGGCAAAGAACAGAATCTCAACCTACAGAAAATTGGTCTTCTAAGAAGAGAGAACAAATCGAACATAGCAAGCATCAGGAAATAATGGTATAAAACCTTCCTGAGATGAAGAATATCCTGAGGGAGCACATACGGCTAATTGGGCAAAAGGAAAACAGTACCTAAACATATCCTGGTGAAATTTTTGAATTTCAATAGTAAACAAAGAATTTTCTGCACATCCGGAAGGAAAAAGTAGAAGATATGGCTGGTCTCAATTTTGTTCTGCGTAATAATGAACATTAGATGCCAGTGGAACAAGGGCCATAGAATTTTGAAGTAAGTAAAAATAATTTGAGATCTAACCAGGAATTTCCTATTTAGTTATGGTATCACTTATGTGTAAAGGGAGACTTTTTATTTAGCATATATTGATATATTTATTGTGAGCTTTAGGAAATATACTCCACATATCACTCCGATGAAAAATATTTCTCAAAGATACACTTAAACTAATTAAGAGTTTTTATTTTTAAACAAACTCAGGACTTCTGCTTCTGGGAAGATGGAGTAGATGTGCTTTTCCTTATTCTTCCCACCAAGTACAAACAAAAACCCTGGGCATTACATACGAAGCAAACATAAGAAGACTTTGAAAGTTGGAGAGAAGAAGGTAGACTAACTGGGGATCTTGGGACCCAAGGAATGACACAATGGCAAGTTCCCTGGATTCTCTTTTGGTTTCATATATCCCAGATTTGGAGCTAAAGAAACCGGCAACCTGGAAAAACCAATGGGCACAGACAAAAAAAGTCCCAATGAAAACCTCCTCCTTCTAGCCAAAGGATCAAGAAAGAGGCAGCCTAGAAAGACAGAAAGCTTTTAAACAATAACCACTCTACTGTAGCCAAACACCTCAGAAATTCTGTGACCATACTTCACCTATACCAACAAATGTTGAGTGGGGAGCCTAGACTTCTACCCGCACCAGAATGTGACAAGGTGTATCATCCTTCTTGTCAGAGTGATATCAGGGAAGGCTGAGTAGGAAGCCAATACTTTCACACCTGCCAGGCAGTAAGGAGGTTCCACCCACCCTGCTGTGCCAGTGGATACCACATAGCAATCTTGGACTTCCAATTCCACCCAGTAGTAAGGAGGCACCTCTATCGCTTCTCCTGGAATGATGGCGGAGGAGGTCTAGTGGAGAGTCAGTGTTTTCATCATGCCCAGTGGTAAAAAGGCCACACACAGTCCCCATGATGTCAGTGGAGACTACAAAGAACAACTTTACACACATAAATTTGACTACTGAGTTTTATGGACCAATTCCTCAAGAAACCAAATTACCACAATTCACTCAGTATGAAATGGAATATTTTTGTGTGTGTGTGAGGAAGATTGGCCCTGGGCTAACAACCATGCCCTTCTTCCTCTACTTTATATGTGGGCTGCCGCCACAGCATGGCTTGACAAGTGCGCACCCAGGATGCGAACCTGCTAACCCTGGGCCACCGAAGCAGAGCACACGCACCAGACTGGCCCCTCAAATAGAATATTTTAATAGCTCTGTAACTATTAATGAAATTGAGTTCATTATTTTAAAACTCCCAAAACAGAAATGTCCAGGCCTAGATGGTTTTACTGGAGAATTCTACCAAACATTTAAGGAAGAATTAACATCGGTTGTACACAATCTCTTCCAGAAATGAGACAAGGAGGGTCTACATCTCACTTCATTTTATGACACTAGTATTACTCTGATACAAAAAAATTAGACAAAGACAGCGCAAAGAAATATAGCTATGGACCAATATCCCTCATGAATTTAGATGCAAAATTTTTAACAAAATATGAGCAAATAGAATTCAGCTAAATATAAAAAGAATTACACACCATGAATAAGTAAGGTTTATTCCAAGAATGCAAGGGTGGTTCAATATTTGAAAATCAACCAAAGAAATTCGCCATATTAACAGGTTAGAGAAAAAAATCACATGCTCATAGCAAGCAATGCAGAAAAAGCATTTGTCATAATTCAATGTCCATTATGTCAAAAAGCATTTGACGTAACTCAAAACACATTCACCACAAAGACTTTCAGAATAAATAGGAATAGAGGGCACTTCCTAAATCCGATAAAGTTCATGTACAGAACCCCCATGGCTAATATTTGACTTAATTGTGAAAGACTGAATACTTCTCCTAAGACAGGAAGAAGGTAAAGATATCTGCTCTCACCACTTTTATTCAACACAGTGCCAGAAGTTCTACTTAAAGCAATAACGGAAACGTAACTAAAAGGCATATAAATCAGAAAGGAAGAAAAAACTTGCTCCTGTTTTCAGATGACATGATTGTCTACAAAGAAATACCAAGGAATCTACAGAAAAACTCCTAGAACTAATAAGTGAGTTCAGTAGAGTTGTAAGATATGAGACAGACATACAAAAATCAATTTCATTTCTATATACTAACAATGAACATGTGGAAACCAAACTTAAAAATAAAATACCATTTAAATTTGCTCAAAAAAGACCCAGAAAGAAATACTTAAGAGTAAATCTATCAAAACATGAACGAGACTTCAGTACTGAAAGCTACAGAATGCTGATGAATGAAATCAAAGAATATCTAAATAAATGGAAAGACATACTGTGTTCACGGATTGGAAGAATAAATATAGTTAAGATGTCAATTCTCCACAAATTATATACAGATTTAATACAATTCCTTTCGTAATCCCAGAAATATATATAGACTTTGTAGATATACACAAGGTTATTCCAATATTTAAATGGTTATGTCAAAAGAACTAAAGTAGCTAAAACTATTTGAAAAATGATAAATTGGGAGGAATCAGTCTACCCAATTTCTATAGTATCTAGACTGTGTGTTATTGGCAAAGGGGTAAACACATAGATCAATGGACAGAATAGAAAACTGAAATATAGACTGACATGAATATGCTCAATTGATTTTTGACAAAGGTGCAAAAGCAAGCCAATAGAGGAAAACTAACCTTTTCAATAAATGGTGCTGAAGCAAGTCAAGTTGTCAATAGACAACAAGAGATGTGTACCTTTGGAAAACCAAAGACTAGTCAAAAATAAAAATAAATCAAAGAGTATGATCAATATAGCAAAAAATGGAAAAAAGAGAGTAGGCATAAAAGAGTACGCCTACCAAGTAGTAGTATATATACAAACATATTGTATAAAAAAAGAGAAGAGAGTGAGACCGAATATATAAATTATGATAATATATTTAAATGAGTTAACCTTTCTAATTAGAAAATGAATAAGTGCAAGTATGATTAACAAACATATATCAAATAAAAGTACGAAACAAATTCTAAAAAGTTAAGCTGAATGCTAAATAAGAGAAATATGAAGAAGAAACATTTCAAAATAAAAGTTAGGAACAAAATACATTAGGCAAACACAAACAGATAAAAAGCACAGATAGCAATATTAGCCTCAAAGAAAATAGAATTCATGGCAAAAACCATTAAATGGGACCAGGAAGTTCTTTTTGTATAGACATAATACTAATTAATTTTTATGTATGGAATAAAATAACATCAAAATATATAAAGCAAACACTAAAAATATCAGGAGATTTTGAATACATCTCTTTCAGTTTTTAACAGATCAAATGGTCAAACATAAAGAAAAAGAACATCTAAATAAACAATTTATAACAACATCTAATAATATAATATTATAACATTTATATTTATAATATAAATAATAAATACACTATGTAGTATTGCAATATAATAATATAGTATATAAAATAACAAATAATAGCATCTAAGTATAATAATTTATAATATATGTCATTGGCATATTTCAAACTCATTACTAAAAGAATATACATTTTTGTCAACTTACATTAAAACATTTACAAAAATTGAGAATCTAGTGGCCAGCCTGGTGGTGTAGTGGTTAAGTTCACATGCTCCGCTTTGGCAGCCTGGGGTTTGCAGGTTCGGACCCTGGGTGCGGACCTATGCACCACTTATCAAGCTATGCTGTGGCAGACATCCCACACATAAAGTGGAGGAAGATGGGCAAAAAAAATTGAGAATCTATTAGTCCACAAACATAATAAGTTCTAGAAAGCAGAATTATAATGGATACGTTTCTCAGCCGTAATGCAAAATAAACCAGAAATGAATAATAAGGAAGCAAAATATCCCCAACTATTTGAGATTAAACAAACGTGAATGGAAATTAGCTTCCTATAAACACTTAAAGAGAAGTTCAAATCAGTTATTAGAAAAAACGATAGCAAGGAAAACATTAAGCAAGAACATTAACAGCAAGTTATCAAAGCTGTAATCAGAGGCAAATTCATAGTTTAAAATTTTTTATTATTAAACAAGAAAAATAAGTCAGTTAACTCAAGAAATTATTAAAAGTAAAACCAAATAACATGAAGTGAAGCAGAAACATAAATCTATATAAGCCTCACAAGGACATGGGCCTTATCTGTCCTTTTTGTTTGTTTGTTTGGCTAAAGAAGATTAGCCCTGAGCTAACATCTGTTGCCAATCATTATCTCCCTTTTTTTTTTTGCTCGAGGAAGATCAGCCCTGAGCTAACATCTGTGCCAATCTTCTTCCACTTTGTATGTGGGTTGCTGCCACAGCATGGCTGATGAGTGGTGTAGGTCCACACCTGGGATCTGAACCTGTGAAACTGGGCCAGTGAAGTGGAGCACACCAAACTTAATCACTACGCCAGATGGCTGGCCTGTTCATAGCTGCGAGCCCGGGATTATGCCCCGAACCTAGGACAGGCCATCAATAAATGTTTTTAAATTGATAAGTGAATGAGTGATTAAATAAGTGAATAAATAAAAACGGAATTTGTGGAATAAAAAGAATATTAATAGAACTGAAAATCTAAGACCTTGTAAGGATGTTCAGGCTGCATTCTTGAAGAAGATTTTACCCTTTGTCCTGTGGAGCTGTGAAAATGGACAGAACAGTGCAAACGCCTGTTTACAGGGCAAACAGGTGAGCTGAGCCAAGTGTGGTCTCAGACGCACAAGAGGGGAATGCCAGAGGCCTCATTGTTCATTTCTGGAAAATCTGTCACCTTCTGGGGGCAAAATCTGTCACAGAGGGAGGCTTGCCTCTGGGTTGGCATGCACTGAGGCAATTTAGTGGCACTGCAAAAGAAAAAAGCCTTCCTTCCCTTAATGTTTACCCTTGAAATCCTTTGAGCAGATGCCGAAGGCTTCCGTTTCAACCTGAAAATAAAACCTTTGTGGCAAAAAGGGATTTAGGTTTACTTCAAGGTTTGTTACTGATAGCAAAACCTTTCCATTGCGTACATATATCACATCTTCTTACCCATTCATCCATCAATGGGGGTTACTAGACTCACCAGGTGATCACTTCATAATGTACATAAATATCGAATCACTATGTTGTACACCCAAAACTAACATAATATTGTATGTCAACTATACTTCAATAAAAAAATTTTTTAAAAGAACACTACTGCAATATCAAAAAAATAAGCAAACAAAAACAAAACAAAAACCCTTTCCTGAACACAGCGTTTTACGTAGGAGAAGGTTGCCACACTGCTGGGTGCTAAGAAACTGAAGGAGAAGGAGGGCTTTCATTGCTACAGGAAAGAACGTAGGATCACTAAAGACTCATTTTCATTATTTTATACATTTTCCCA